GGGAGGTGGGGACGGGGCTGCCGGTCAAGCGGGCGGAGCCCGGCGACGGCGGGAGGTGGAGCCGCCGAGGGAGGAGGGCCCGAACGAGCTGGGTGCCGCCGCGGGAGGTTCTGGAAAAGCCGGGAGCGGCGCGTGTCCGGGTGAGCGTCCCGCGCGCCCGCCCCCCGGGTCCGCAGCGGAGCTCGTGCGCGGGCCGGGGTCGCCGGTTCGAGCCTTCTGCCCGCGCGGGGCTGGGAGCTGGGGACCGGGCGTCGCGCCGTCCGGGCCGCAGCCCCGCGACCTCCGCTCTGTTTCTACACCCGTGTGGGTTCCTGTCCCGCCGCCGCCTCGCCTCCCCGAGCTTAGGGTGGTGAGGTCAGCCGCGCCCTTCCTGCCAGTCCCCTCGGGGCGGCCGGACCTTGCGGGCAGCGTGGCCGCCCCGCCTGTCAGGCTCCCGGGAAGGGGCGGCCTGGCCCGAAGGCTGCTAGAGGTTGGAGGCGGAGGCAGGGGCGCCGGGCAGGCCCTGAGGGGCCGCTTAGTGTTAGGGAGGTCCACCATCCTGCCTCCAAAGGGCTGAGAGTCTGCGGCCTTGGCCCCGCTTGCTGCCCGTTGAGACAGGCTGTTGGATGAGAAAGTTTTGTTTTTGTTTTTCTTTTTTCCCCCTCCAGACATCCTTTTCTAACCTGCATGGTTTTGCCTCAGCAGGCGCGGAGACTTGTGCCTAATTAATTAATTCAACAAACGGACCCTTCTGCGTATCAGAAACTGCAAGGAGTTGCTAGCCCAGTGGGGCAGGCAGACTGGAAGACCAGGAAAGGCCAGGCCCCGGGCAGTGTGGTGAGTGCTGTGCTGGTAGGGAGCACCGGACTGTGGGTACTTGGTAGAGGACAGGATGCTTCAAGCCAGAGGGCTTCTTGGAGGAGGTGACCCATGAGCTGGAGTGGTCCGATGAAGGCAGAAGAAAGGGTAAGCCAGACAGAGGAACAGCGTGTGTGTGAGTGGAAGCAGACCTGGGCACTCTAGTGGAAGCAAGGTGATGGGGGAAGGGACACTTTAGGGAATAGCAGCCCATGGACCCTGTCCAAAGAGCTTCAAGTGAGAGGACAGTGCCTGGTATTGTGCCCTGTATGTGGAGGATGCTCAGTGAACCCTTGCAGCATAAACATGGATCAGCATAAACCCTCCTTCTTCAGGGCAGAGGCCCCTGGCCTCTGTTTTCTAATCTGACACCTTTAAGGTGGTGTAGAAGAACATCAGAGCCCCTCCCAAGGCTGGGACTGGTGTCTTCTGCTGTAGAGTGAAACCTAAGGCTTGTGCTGCTTGATGTAAACCATCTGAAGCTTAGCAACCTCAGTGCTTTTGCAAGAGATCCTGGCCCTGAGAGCAGGAGTTGGGGAACATTGCTTTGTAGCTTAGGGCATTCTCAAATGTCCCTGATTTTGCAGAGATCCACTGTCCACCTCAGAATTTATAGAATGGTTTTGCAAGCTGCTGCCCGTATCACATCTAGGATAGCAGGTTCCATGATTTAGTTCTCCGTTAAATGAGCCATGGTTTCCTTTGGCTTGTGCTTAAACAGCCCCTGAAGCTTCCAGGGTGCAGTCTCTCATTTTATTCTGGGCCTCAAGGGCCAGCCTCTCTGTTCAGTTCTCCCTACTCATAAAATGTTTGGGCTTTGAATCCTTTTATCCTTGGGTCTCATTTGTAGACGGCCAAGCCCACGCACTGTGTGGCCCAGCCAAGGAAGCCACGTAGCAGAGTTGGAGTGTGTTGGCTGGGGGCCTCATCCCAGAGATGCTGTCATAGTGGGCCACCCTAGTTCTGTGAGAGGTCAGCAGGCAGACATGATGGCGACTGAGTATTGTCTGTGGCTTGTGATAGGCCCTTCTACCCTGTCCAATGCTCTGAAATGGGTGTGCCCAGGAGAGTGCCTACTTTGTCACTGGTTTAGCCTGGCCACAGCCAATCTCTGTTCATTCCTGGAGTACCTCCTGTGTGCTGGGCTTCTGCTTAAAGTGTACCTGGGGCTGGAATGAGGGAGGAGGGAAAGGAGGCAGTGGCGGTGGCACTGTCCTTGCCCATGGGTGGCTCACAGTCTCTCTGAGATTGCTGCTTCACGCTGGCAGGTGGTCATGTGCCAGGGAGGAGCTCAGAGTGTGAGTGCTCGTGAGAAGGAGAGACCGCATGGGTGCAGCCGTGAGGAATGAGTGGGGTGAGAGAATCGGGGGTCTGCTCATTTCCTGAGAGAACCTCCCTTTTTGACTCTGCCCTCCCACATCCGTGGGAGGGTCTGAGACTGGATGGAAGACCTTGGCCAGTGTGTGGCCACGCTGGCTGTAGTGTGCATTGGGCTGGCCGGTGTGTCCCTGGCTCCTGGGATCTCTCAAGAGTTTAATTCTATGCAGATGGAAGTTGGCAGGAGATGCTGTGATGCAGGCACGTGCAGGCCCAGACAGGGTGCTGGAGTGAGAGTTAAGCTTTGAAAACGTTGCTGAAATCTAGCAGTTTGAACTTTTAAAGGGCACCAGGATGGGACATCAGTCTGTTCTTGAGCAGAGAGGGCTGGTGGCTCCTGTGGTCTCTGGGGTTTGAGCTGGAGATGTGGAATGAGGGATATAGTTTTTATTCTCAGAAGGAGCAGAGGAGCATGAAAAGTCTGGATTAGAGACCGAGGAGACCTAGGTCTTGGAGACCTAGGAGAGAGTGTTTGTTCAAGTGGTGTCATTGCAGGGCAGAGGATTAAATGTTTGGGTAGTGAGTTCCCCAGCTCAAATAGGATGTGAGCCTGATCACAGACCAGCATCTCCTCTAGACCTTTCATGAAGTGCTTGCTAAAACATAGCCTGCTCTGTACCCGGCACTCCGGAAGGCCCAGGGTGTGGCCGCAATCCTGAGGCCTGCTACTTGTAGGAACTCGGAGTGAGCAGGTCAGAGACGTAGAAATATGTGAGATTCTAGAGTACTGGTCCGGTCACCTGTTTTTGCCAGAGAACTTTCCTTCCTTGCTGAGAGTTAGAGCCAGTGATAGACCAGTTTCCAGAGTTATTCCCTCATGGTCAATATGTTGCATTATGCTTGACTCCACCCTCTGCTGAATCTCTTAACACTCCTGGGACATGGAGTGTTAAGAGATTCAATTTCTGTCTTGTTTTCATCTTCACTGTCCCCTAGACTGGACCTTCTTTCCAGGGATCAGCTGGGAAGCTGGCTGCTTCAGGTCTATTGCCGTTCCTCTAGTACCCTTGGTGCTCTTGACTGGTATAAGTTGTGCCTGGTGCTAGGCTGCCCACTGACATCTGTCATCTTACTCAATCTTGAAAACAGCCCTAATATTTTAACTGTTAAATAGATGGGAAAACTGAGGCTCAAAGAGACCCTGTAACTTGTCTAAGGCCCCAAAGCCTGGAAGTGATTGTGGAGCTAAGCTTTAATTCTGGGGGTCTCTGACCCCAGGGTGGGTGTGCCTGCTTACTAGACTGTACTGTCTTGCCCTGAGCTGGGCCATTCGGTCATTTGTGAGTGCTGTGATGTCTGGGCAGGAGTGACTGCTCACTTGGACTTGAAGCACCATGTTTTTGTCTTCTGGGTCCATGTTGCTGTCTGCCTTCTGGTGGGATCCAGCCACGGACGTCATGAGGCTGCTTTGTGAACCACAATAAAGTCCTTGACCTGGGCAGGCCTGTTGTGCTAGGCCAAAGTGTGGCTCCTCCTTTTGGGAAGTCCTTGTGCTATAAGACAACAGATGTTACTGAGTAGGATTGAAGGCAGCAATATATAGTAGAAAGTATGTTTTGGATTTGAGTCTGGGCTCTGCCATTAATTTCCTGTAGCATGTGAGGTGCGCAGGAAACTCTCAGCCTCAGTTATGTATCTTATATATCTATATCTGAAATGCAGATGATTATCTAGTTTACAAGGTGCTGGTGAGGATTAGATGGTAGAAATGAAAGATTTTTGGAAACATGAATAGTGGTTATCTTAGCCTAGAAAACAGAGCCCAAGGCAGAGCTTAAGTACTTAACGCTTTGTTAGAAGGTACAGTTGCGGAGTAGCAAGGGTAAGGGAAGATAAAAGTGAGGTCGAGAAGGAGGCGAAGCATATACAAGGTGGTGCATTAGCAAGCTGGCCAGTCTGCACAGAGATACACTAGTTGCTCAGCCATGAAGGACATCTCTGGGTGAGCTCTTCAGAAGCCCCGTGCTGCAGAACAGTTTCTCAGTGAAGACCTGGAGAGGGGATTTATCTGCTGACGTCCTCTTGTTTCTGTCCTTCATTGGTCACAGTTGCCCCAGGAGGAGTTAATTCCCCCATGCTCACTCCTCAGTTGAGCCCCTGGGGAGGTCAGCATGGTGCTTCGCTGGAGTCTGGAAGTAGCAGGAAGAGTCAGAGATTTGGGGACTGCACAGTCTCCTTCACTGGGTCCGAGGCAGAGCAAGTGGCCCAGGGCCCAGGAGGCAGGTGAGGCCAAGAGAGTACAAGGTGGTATGTCAGATGCATCCAGTATAGTGGTGTGTGGATTTTATTCTTTCCTGTAGTTCCTTATAAGGTAGTCTTACCTGGACTGCCAAGTCTTTGCCAAGACTAATTGAAAACCCAACTGGCTTTTGCATGTTGGTTTGTACAGCCTTTTCTGCTACTTAATTGTCTAGTTACTGAAGCAGGAGACTTTGGGGTTTTGATGGTACCCACGTGGGAAGTACAAGTCAACATGTCCAGGTACTGGATAGAGAAACTACAGTCAGCCCTCCATATCTGCAGATGCAAAACCTGTGGATACGGAAGGCTGACTGTACTACACCTATTATATAAGGGACTTGAGCATCTGTGGATGTTGGTATCTGTGGGGCCTCCTGGAGCCAATCCCTTGTGGATACTGAGGGACAACTGCATAAGGATAGGTATGCATGAATATCTAGGCTTTGTTAGGTTCTCAGTGAAGGAGAATGTTTTTCATGTGATGTGGTAGTTGAAGGTATGAAAACTGGAGTCATGAGATGGGGCTGGAGAGGGCAGTAGGGCCAGGTCACGCAGAGTCAAAAAGGCCCTTAGGGCTAGGTAATTTGGACTTTGTCCTGAGAGTAGTGGAGAGCCTTCGGAGGGTTCTTAGGGAGAAAGAGACCAAATGAGGGGCTGTAGTAAGCTGTGATAGCTATTTTGTAGAGCAGAGGTGGGAGGGAGGCCACATAAGATGAGAGACCAGTGCAGGTAGGGGCCGGTATAGCCGCAAGAGGGACTTAGGGGTGGCTCAGATCAGGGTGATGATTGAGGCATGACCTCAGGTAGGGAGAGTAGGGTGCCTCTCATGCTTCCCTGGGGTGCCAGTGAGAGAAGCTTATGGGCCCAAATGGACATCCATGTACATAGGTAGGTAGGGCCTCCTGGAGCCTCTGTTGAACTCTTCCTAGGTTGAGCACGCAGGTCCTCTTGGCTCTGCCATTCAGAGTTGACCACACTACTGGGAGGTAAGACCACTGCGGGGAGCCCTGTTCAGGCTCATTTTGCCCCTTCACAGAAGGCAGGCAGCCTCTTGTTCAGAGCTAAGCCAGACAAATACATTGTTAAAACTCAAGCTGTTGCATTTGGGTTGCAGCTGGGAGCTTGGCAGAGGTTCCTGCCTGATGAGGTAAGGGGAGAAGCTAAGGACACTGCTGGTTTGCAGTTGGAAACATCTTTTCATGGTTATTTGGCCAGGTTGTAAACGTCCTTTCCAAAGAGCGGGTGTGCTAAGGCCTGTGATTGTATGTCTTGGAATTGTCCTGTGCTTAGAAATAGTGCCGGTCGCCTGGTGGGTGATTTATTGTCACTGGGGTGTTGGCAGGCTTTGGAGGACTTCCCTGTGGGGGTCCAAACTCAGGCTGCTGGGCCGCTTTGGAGTCCATTTGAGAGGGCCTGCTTTGTTTTCTTTTCATTTTAAATGTGAAATATATTTTAAATTTCCCATAGAACTCCTTGTGGAAAGATTAGGAAATACAAGTTAACATAAAGAGAAAAATAAAATGATTTCACCAAGACACAACTAGATTTCTGACTCTCCACTTGCATATATATGTAGGTATGTAAATTTCCATATATAAAAATTTTTCCTTATAAAAATAAAATCATAGAGTATATCTTGTTTGGGAGCCTGCTTTTCTCACTTAACAGGATGCTTTGATCTTCTCTCAGTGTTAATGTACACACAGTGTCCATTTTTACACAATCCATAGCAATCTACTGTTTGGAAGAAATGTAACATCTTCTGTTGTTACAGTTTCCTGGAATGAACAAGTCTGTGGTGAGGGTTTTTTTTTCTTTTTGCTGTTGTTGTTGGGCCAGACTTTGTTCTAAACTTGGGATGCAGCTCAGAAAAAACTCAGTATTGGTTTTCTGTTCAGACTTGGTGATACTTTATTTTCATAAAAGGGGCCTCAATGTTGCCCATTTTTAGGCCTATTCAGCATGGATTTCTGAGGGTTCCTGGAGGGCTTTTGACAGCACTGGACACTGGTGGGGGCACTGGGCAGGCATACATACTTTTTCTGTCATAAGCAAGCTCTGGGATGGGGGACATGTAGGGGTTGGCTTTTCCCATTCTGTGGCACACAGTCTTTCTTGGAGACTGCCTCCTCCCAGCCTGACCCTGATTAGATGGCCTTTTGTACACCTAATACAAATTAGTGTTCGGGGGCTCAGGATCAGGAGAAATAGGCTGGGACTCTAGTGTACCTTTGCCTGGGGTGGCAGTGTTGATTGTGGTGGTCTGGGGGCTGCGTGGGAGCGCCTAGCTCTCTGGACCAGCAGGGTTGTCATCCCCCTCTTCCATCAGAGCAGGACGTCCTAGGCTCTTGGTCAGCCCAGAATCCCATCTGTGATTCTTTGGGCTCTGCCTCCAGGCTGGGATTCGTCGATAGGCTCAGTCTAAGCCAGATAGCACATTCCAGAGAAATGACAGCTGGTATTCATGTAATGAAGGAACTTGGCTGCTTTTTCCTGAGTGCTGTAAGGCATGAACCATGGGCAGTATCACCAGGGTGACTTGAAAGGAACAGAGAGGCTTCTCCCTCCCTTAAATTTGTTACCTGATCTCTGAATGGGCATGCCACTGCAACTGGTGACGGAACAGGGGACAAGCGCTGGTGCCCCTCAACTCCAACCGTGTTTGGTCTGGTCTCCTGCCTGGGCACTGCTCTCCCATCACCCCAGCCTGATGGGTAGTTGGCTGATGCCTCATTGTCCACAGATACAGCCTCCTGGCTCTGGGTTTTTACTGTTCCCTCCCTACACACATACAGAAGGTGTTCTCCTGAGCTGATGAAGCCTCTTGAAGTACAAGGAGCAGACCCTAACCCTGTGAATGGGTCTTATGTAAGCAAGAAGAGAGGCCTTCTGGACTCCCAGGGTGGAGATGTGGTATGCTGAGGGCTGGGAGCAGATTTGTGGCTGGCAAAAGGGGGATCTGGGCTTTACCTTGGGGCTAGGCTGGGCCGTCTCACCTCTTCTCGGTGACTTGCTTTCATCTGCTGCCCTAACTTTATAATGGATCCCTTAGCCCGTACTCCCTACCCTGCAGTAGGTTGTGGGCTGAAGGATCTTGTTCTGTGTATCTCTGGGCCCCTGACACCTAGGGTATTGATGGGCATGATGTCAGCTCTGCAGACATTTGGCAAGGGATGAACAAATGGGGACACTCACTTATTCTCTCCTCTTCCTCATATAGGAACCCGTTTGAGGGTGGGGGTCGTGGTTTGGCTTCTCTGAGTCTAATCTGGAGCCACAGTGGATTGGAATTTCTTCTGAAAGGGTGAGGTGAGGAATGGTGGGTGTGACTGTGCATCTAATCATTGCAGGCAAAAAACTGCTGAGCTGGCGTTAGTCAGCTCAGACTTAGAATTCTGTCAGATAAGGCTTACATTTTGGAGAGAAAGCATTTGTATTTCCTTTATATTCCTTGTTTTCTCTCAGTAAATTTCCAGTGGGGCTTGGCTGAAGTAGAGCAGGAAGAGGAGGGACTGACAGAACTGGGGCTTACATGGGTGCTGTTCCTTCAGCGTGCTCCAGGCTGCATGGGTGAGCTTGGAGATGATGTCCAAAGCCTCCATTGTGTACTTGGGTCCACTGCCAGTGGGGCTTGCCCCATGGTGTGCCTGCTGCCTTCAGAGCTGGGTCTCGCTATTTCTAGGCTGATGAGAAGACAGCAGCTGGCCTCTTACTCATGTCAGCAACCCAGCCTGGCCTAAGGTTTTGGCCCTGTGTGGCTGATTCATTTTTGTATCCCGAGTGCGTAGCTCAGTGCCTGGTATACGTGGGTCTTTAGTAAATATTTGCGAATGGTGATTCTCCATGAGGACAGTGTCTTCCAAGGAACTCACTACAGGAAGAGCAGTGTCTGCCCAGTCTGCTCTAACTGTGGCCAGGTGCAGACCCGCAGGGAGCAGTCTGATTTGTCTTCTGGCTCACCATCTGCTGTGCACCTTATTTTGGGTGTGGATCCCCTGGGGCATATTGTGTCAAGCTCTCTTTCCGTCATTGTCTCTCCTGTACTTTCAGTCTTCTTGTGGGCAGGGATTGTGTGTTACATCTGGGTCCTCAGCACCTGGCACTGTCCTCACACCTGTGTTGGAAGGAAAGACAGAAACAGAGAAGAGGTCTGGGCCAGAATCTTGAACTGACAGACTATTAGACCCAGAGGTGACTGTCGTCCACGGCCCCCACCTCCATTCAGCCTTCCCGTGTTGTCAGTGGTTACCAGAAGTCGAGAGGCAGAGTCTCTCCCAAGGGCACTTGGCCTCCCAGAGCAGGGGACAGAATTAAGCATACATCTCTGGTTCTATACCCTGGCATCTTTCCACTTGTGGTCCTGAATATCTTTCCTGGCTTCTGTGTGTTAGGTCAGGATTTTGGCATGTTTGAATGTGTGTATATATGTGCACATGTGTATGTGTATGCTTACCTAAGTTGCTTTTTACCATTGTTGATCTAATGACTACTATCACTGAATGCCTTGCAGACACTGCCCTCTGTGACCATGAAACTCTGGGTATCCATGTTGCTGGTGGCCTGGTTTGGTGTCCTGGGCTGTGTGCAGGCTGAATTCTTTACTTCTATTGGTATGTGCCAACAGGACTGTTGTCTACCTGAGCAATCGTTGGCTCATGTGCCAGGGGATGTTACTGCTTGAGGCCTGTTCTCATTCAGGGTGGGATGGCCTCATCCACTGGTTTTGACCAGATCTGGGGAGAGCTGCTGTTTCCCCCTCTGAGCCCTGATGACCTAGATGTCCTTCCTGGGAGCCAGCTGTCTCAGCTGAGCCTCCACCCTGGGTAGTGCAGGCTGCTCCTGGGCTGCCTGGCATTTCTGACCAACTTTCTCTTGGACTAGAGAGTAGTTCTGAGCAGAGAAGCCCCCAGGATGTCTGTGTCCCATAACATGACCCAACTGGGTGGCAGTGGGAGAATGAGACTTGGGGTTTCTTCCTTAAGGTGTCCTCAGTGCACTTAACATTCCCTTGGAGCCTCTGCCTCTCTCTTCCTGAAGCTGGGGGCCAGGACCATACGAATGTCTAGGCCTCCTTTACCTCTAGGTCCCCATGATTCCAAGAGAGTTAATATACCCTTGGCCCAGGGGGCTGGCTTCTGTGTTGATGTTTTGTGCCTCAAGTTTGGGAGCTGGATGTCCCTCATCCATTTCTTACTGGCCCTTTTTTCTCTCCCTTGCAGGGCACATGACAGACCTGATTTATGCAGAGAAGGACCTGGTGCTGTCCCTGAAGGAGTACATCTTAGTGGAGGAAGCCAAGCTCTCTAAGATTAAGAGGTGTCTAATGTCCTAAATCCCCACACCCACGCTGAGCCAGCCCTCCTCCCCTGCCCCCCCCACCCCCCCGGAACCCATCCTGGGTGCCCATAAGAGGAAGCCCTTGAGGGGGCAATGTGGGACTGGCCTGGAGGTTACTTCATGCCAGTCCCCCAGAGTAGCTAAGTATGTGGGCTAAGGACTCACTGCTTTTTCCTTTTTAAATAGAGACCCCCTGAATCTCACCAGGAAAATTACCATAGGTCAAGATCCATGTGTTAACCTTCCTTTTTCTCTGGTTCCACAGCTGGGCCAACAAAATGGAAGCCCTGACCAGCAAGTCAGCTGCTGACCCTGAAGGCTACCTGTCCCACCCTGTGAATGCCTATAAACTGGTGAAGCGACTAAACACAGACTGGCCTGCACTGGAGGACCTTGTCCTGCAGAACTCAGCTGCAGGTGAGGGACAGTGAGCAGGTGGTTAGGTGAGCCAGTATGTCTGTGTGCTGGCACCTGGGGGGTGTGGGTCTGAAACTGTCCTGGGTCGGGGTGTGCACGTGCAGTGTGTGAACATGCAGCCTGCCAGTCCAGTGGCTGTCATCTCTGTGGGGACCTGGCAGTTGTCTGTCCTTGCTTTTAATGTTATAATAATCAGTTTTTGGGGATTCCCTAGTGGTCCAGTGGTGAGGACTCTGAGCTTCCACTGCAGGAGGCATGGGTTTGATCCCTGGTTGGGAACTAAGATCCTGCATGCTGTGCTACGTGGTCAAAAAAAAAAAAAAAATCAGTTCTTGCCTTTTCCTAGTGTTTTTGGGTGCCTTTTTTTTTTGGTAGTGACTTTTTTCTAATTATGCTTTAGTAATACATATTTATAGAAACGTTGGAAAACACAAAAACAATCATATAAGAAAATTACAGTTCTTAATCCAATTGCCTAGTGATAATCACTGTTAAAATTCTAGTCTTTTTACACATTTATATACATTTAAAAAAATGGAATCATACGTATATATCGTGGAATGCAAACTTATTTGCTTCGAGGGACCAAGTGAATTAACAAAAGTAAGATAAGTGGGCTAAGTGGTGGGACCAGTGCAAGCTGGGGAGCACGGGCCTCACCTAAATTCATTTCCATTCATATCTTTTATTTCTTTTTTTTTTTTTTTTTTTTTTTTTACGGTACCTGAGTCTCCCATTGTTGTGTCTC